ACTTCATTATTCTAAGAAACAATGAAGAAACCTTGAAACCTTCGATTCTTCCCCCTAAGCAACTTTTGGTGAGTTGATATTCATAGTACTTTAACAATTTGTTTATTTTGCACCACATGCGAGAAGGAAAGACAAAGAAAAGTGAATCTAATAGTATGAGGATCGAATCAGCAAGGCGCAGCGGTTCACGTTTTCATTAACGTAAAGCAATACCCAATTCCCCACAAAACATAGCCTTAATTTAGGATTAAGATGGTAGATTGTCGATACTGTTACACTGAAGCATTCAAAATAGCTCATCCACGTAGAACGTGCCTATGTTTTGGTATGGTTATCGTTTATATATTTTTATCGGAAATTTATTAAAAAGAAAGTATTATAGCTAGTAACGTAGACTTAAATGTTTTACCTCAACATCATCGTCAGAGCCTTCGGAAGGCATTTCGCTGTCTTGTGAAAAAAGAATGTAATTTACATAATTAAATTTATAAAATAACAGGGAAATTCATAAAACAAAAATGCAGGTTAACCTTTTATGATAAGAAAGGCTTACATTTACTGTATTTTACAGAATGGAATATGTTAAAAGGCGTATACATATTTAAATAAAACTTCACCTGGACTTTGTCCGATGGCATATATCATTGTGTACGGGTCATGAAGTGTACTATTAGTGGTAGTGGTTACTTTACGTAGCTACGAGCAGAATCTGTGTTACAGAATACCTCCACATCACGGAAGTAAAATGATATCAAGGTAGAAAATGTTACACCACGGTAGTAAAATGATATCAAGGTAGAAAATGCTCCATCACGGTAGTAAAATGATATCAAGGTAGAAAATGCTCCATCACGGTAGTAAAATGATATCAAGGTACAACAAGTCACATCACGTTAGTAAAATGATATCAAGGTGAAAAATAACAATGGTTGGTGGATTCTATAACAGGAACATTAGTAACATTTCATAGGACATTTTACGCCGCATTAAACATCACGTTAACAAATAATTTTGAAACAAACGGCACGCCACAAATAATGTTGAAAAACTAGCCGTAAAATTAATTTGATGCCCATCTTGCAGTGTTCGTATAGGCAACACCACTGACAAGTTTAATCTTTTTTAACCCCAAGTTTTTACCGTGACAAGTTAGAAAAAAGTGTGGGATAGGTAACCTGAAAAAAGCTTTATAATCATACTCTCGCTTATTATCAGAAAATTCCCGGCTTTAATAAGACGCGATACGAACATCTTAATGAAACTCCTAAACAGAATTTAAGCCGGCGGAATGTGCTTAGTGGAAACAGGCTACAGCACAGTGAGATCAAGTAAATGTATTTCTTCTACTCGCACACAAAAATTAAGATAAAAATTGAGGCTTCCCCCCGTACAGGATGCCACTACATACGCATCAAAAGTTTGAAGAGAACTGAAGAGGCGTTGACCCTGAACCCCTTTAATAGACGATAAGTCACAATGAAGCCAAACGCGGTGTTTATAACTTGCAAGTAGCTTTATTCAGTTTATTTACTATTTCTTCCATGCCTATTCGTTGTTTTCAATAAATGAGTATCTAAAATTATGTAACATAAAAGAAAAAATCCATTAGAGTTCATGTTCTGTGTTTTATGAAAATACGACGTCGATAAAACGCTGAATCAAGTTGTCCACTTTCTGTATGATATCAGCATTATGGCAAACCACCTTTCTCAGCACTAATGTTCATCAATAAAATTTTGTTTCATATTGCTTCATTGTCAGTACGGTTTTTGGCCGTGCGTTTACCAACCTTCGCCTTTGCCATTACTGCATAAAAAAGGGAAAGCAAAAAGGCAAAGGGAGAAAGCTTTGAGGTCGAATTCCCATATTAAACGGCTCTGTTAACGCTCTTTAATTTCGCGTCCATCTGTGCGACAAAATTTGTAACGAAAAGCTTAACAAAGAAGAATAAGTAGCGTGCGTGTCTAATACTCTTTTTCCTTTTTGCTCTGTTTTCCTGCTCTGAAATCAATACCGTTATCCTAATTCGGCTGATTGAAGCTTTTGTGGATCATATTTATCAAATCAATTCCTTAGCAAACCTTAGCCACTTATGTTTAAAGGCTGTTTGTTAGCCTTAAGTAAATTATGTTACTATTCACAATTCTCTGAGCGTAAGAAATGGATATATTTCAACACTGAGCGCAATTTTTCAAGAACAGGAAATAAGTGTCGTGTATGGGGTTCCAAATGATTCTCTTGGAGAGAATAATAGGAAGACGTGAAATAAACAGCTAAGTCTGTCTAAAATGATTGTTTCTAAAAGTACACACGAGTGAACTCGAGTGAACACTAGTGACCACGAAAGACCACGAGTAACCACGAGTGAGAATTCACTAAAATATATTTTTTCTGTTATAATGACATCAGTAATACGTCACTTTATCAAATTACGACTCTTAAACCGGAAAGAGCTCATTTGAGAGGGGGGGCTTAATGGAGGATTTACGGTACGTCTAAAGCTCCTTTATGGAAATGCCCCCAGGTAAGAAGAACCGCTCACAAAGAGTGTCAATAATAATGTCAATATCAAAAATCTTTAATAATATTGAGTGAAAATTTCAACATTATCCGAAACTTTGTTCCTATTTAAAAACTTTAAAGTAATAAAATCATGTTTCAAGTACTTCGAAATGGTTTAAGTATATATAACAATTATTCACCGAAGTGGAGGTGGCTAGTGATGTAAATTCTACCGAGGCCGCGAAGCGGCGAGGTAAATTTACCATCACTAGCCACCGGAAACTGAGGTGAATAATTGTTTTAGTATATACTAAAACAGTGAAATAACTGAGCAGAAAAATGAAAATTGTTCACTCATTTACTTTTGCCAACGATTACAATTTTGGCGCGCAATGACCGAACGGCCGCTTTTTCTTGCCGATAAATAAAACTTTTGAAGGCATTTGTTTAGCTCTTGCGGAGAAGTTTCTTCAAAAGGAGTTGTGAATTCTTTTTGTATTTAAAATCATTCTCTATAAAAGATTATTAAATTTATTTTTAAGCTTATTTATGAACAAGTTTGAATTTGCAAACAAAAAACACTTTTTCACCGGTTTTATCGATAAATTCAGGTCAAAAAGACTAAGCTCTACCAGTTAAAACTTACAAACCGAACTTTGTCACCTTCTTCAAGTATTTCGGGAACAGCTAGCTTGATTAGTTGTGAAATTTTCTTTGTTACGGCAGCAAAACGGGAAGGTATTTTGCTCGCAACTTGCGCGAGTTTGGCGTTGCTCGCTCGGAGAAACTAGAGGTGAATCAGCGAATAGTGCAGGATATTCACTGATTGAGTAGCCAATCAGAGCGCGCGAAAAACACTATCCACTGTTTTAGTATATACGAAAACGCGGTTGGTTGATTTCAAAATCTTTCCGGTTCTTAGGCTTTTTGGAGGTTTTTTTTATGTTAGATCTTCGAGCCATAATCAAAGATTAAGGGTCGGTACAATATTGGAAGTGGTTTCTTAAGCCTTGAAACAGCAAATGCCTTTACTATGAACTCACCAACGGAATATAAGCTACTTAATTCAACCAATAACTAATAAGTACGTTTTTGCTCAGCGAAGAACGTCACTCTGTACTTGAACCATGTACTGTCTCCTAAGATCCTGGAAAAGTCAACTTGAATGACGAAAACTAAACAAGTGTAAGACCAAAGTCAAAGCAATTGATGATAGCCTTCTGGTCAGGAGTTAGGTTGTCGTGAAAATGTTCTATCTACTCTAACGGAGTGTGACTTGTTATTGGATGATAATAGGCGTTCGTAAAATCGGGACTATAAGTGAAGTTCCCCTTCTCTTCTCGCCCCCTCAGTCTTCTGTCGACATGTCTGACAATGAAATTGTTCGGTGATACACGATAGCTCCGAGAAAAAACTTCAGGTGCCGAATAGTTAGCAAATATATCGGCTCGTATCTGGAAGGCAAGAAAGTCGCCCTGGGCGCAAAAAAAAAAAATAAATAAATAAATAAATAAATAAAAAAGGAAGCGAAGTGTACATTATTCTCAAACAGTAAAAATGATTCAGAAGAATATTAGACATATTACCCTATATTTTGACAAAAGCGTGAAGAAGCAAAATCAACATTAAAAGGTGGGTAAGCAGGAATAAAAAGGATACGGGTGGCAAGAAATTACACCGTTCCTTTCCCCCTCCTAAGCTGTCCGGGACCCACCCTTTTTTAAAAAAAAAAAAGAAAGAAAGAGATAGGACAAACATTTACATATTGTAGTGGCTGGAAATGGTTTTGCGGTTACAATGGTTACATAGTGGTAAATAGACAAAGGGGCATAATAATAACGTGAGTATGACGTCAAAATAATATTTTGATGTATTCTCACTAGTAGTTATTCGTGGTCACTCGTGTTTACTCGTGATCATTCGTGGTCAGTCGTGTTCACTCGTGNGTAAATAGACAAAGGGGCATAATAATAACGTGAGTATGACGTCAAAATAATATTTTGATGTATTCTCACTAGTAGTTATTCGTGGTCACTCGTGTTTACTCGTGATCATTCGTGGTCAGTCGTGTTCACTCGTGTTTACTCGTGTGTACTTTCAGACACAATAGTCTAAAATAACCCCTGCTGCGCCCTGACCCCCCTCTTAACCGAATATACATGTCCTTTCCAAAGCAAAAATAAAATATATTAAATATAGCCACCACTGCTACACGAAACAAAAGAATCAGTCAGTCGGTTAAAACTTTCCTTCTTGGTTATCAAACTATACTTTTAAATCAAAGAAGCAACGACGATAATGCAGACACTTTTAAATGCTTGTTTATTTTTAACCCAAATATACCTAGCTATCATTACAATTATAACACTTTAATACTATAGTGAACAACCTGCTCTGTGTTTTATTAATTGATCCTTTTCCTGAGGAGGAAAAAATGTTTAAAAAAACAACAACAACAAAAACACAAAACGAAGAAAAACATGATAATGTTATTGCTACATCCTATTTCATTTTATTTCTTGGTTTCTTTTATAATACGTCTCCGTTCCATCCGGGAACTTCTTCCTACAAGAAAAAAAGTAAAGGTAGAACGAGTGGACGCGAAACATATAATCACATTATTATTATTACTACCACATTAGTACTAGTAATAATAATAATAATGGAAACTTTATTTGTGTTTTTGGATGTACAATTGTAAATCTCGCTACGTATAGGCAATTTACAAATGCTGCTTGAGAAAATAAAATAAAATAACACTAATACTACTGAAAAAAACTCTTTTAAATTACTCTTAAAAAGAAACCTAGAATTTAAATTTCGTAAATGCCGAGGTAAAGTATTGTAAACTAGAGCCCCTTGAAAGGCAAAACTTCTCCGTCCAAATTCTAATTTGGCTTTGGGAAGTTTTAGTGATCACCCATTGTTTCTAGTGTTAATGTTGTGTTCAATTTTTGTAAAATATCCTTTAAAAGGGGTACAGACGTTATCCTGAAGACAATCATACACAAGCTGGCAGGACTGTCTCATTATTAAACTCTCCACTGTATTTTTATTTATGCGTTGCGTGGACCCCTACATTCAAACAGTTTTCCCACATTACATGGTTCGCTGATTCAGAGCGTAAGAACAATTTTTCCCCCACGTGAAAAAAAAAAAAGCAAAAAAGAAATAAAATCGTCTTTTTCTCCCTAACCTTTTAAATAAGTATGTCTAATTATCTTTGAGGAGTACGATTAGGGGACTTGATATTTATTTATTGTGAATGCAGAATTCAATCTGAAAGACGTCAGGGTAACTCTTTTGATTTCAGGCCCTAGTAAACAAATCAGTAAGGTGGATGGTAAACGAGTGAAGGAGTCATCCCCGGTGCTATAATCAATACAATGGTTAAAGGAGCTGTGTAACAAAGTTTGTCAAAATTTCAACGGTGAGAGCTGCCACTAAATTGAGTGAAAATAAAAAGAACAACTCGAAACATTGAAAGCAGGTACAAATAACACAGCCCCCCCCCCCGGGGGGGTACTCCGGATTTCAAGTGACGGGGATGATTAAATGGGGGCAAAAATCGAAACCCCCCAAAATACGTTCTAACAAAACCCAAAAAACCCCTGGAAGAAAAACTACCTCCCCCCAAAAAATTCATGCCAAACTTCCGAGCCTTAAAAATTTCCAGAAAGCAGTAAATGACATAACACGAAAAAGACTACACAGAAATACGCGGCCGGGATACGCAGGCACTACCACGAATCTTCAGATTGTTTTGGACTACCCCCAAAACCCTCTATTAATTCAAGAAACCCAAAAAACTTTTCTATCCCCCCAAAACCAGGAATCAACAAATTTCAAACCCCCAAAAATCCTTTGATTATCCGCGTCTCTTACAATCCTAAGTACCACCCTCGGAGCACAGCGAATACAATAGAAGGCAAGGATGAATAAACTTTAAAAAGATTGAAACGGATTTCAAGCCTGTCAGTTTTTAAAGTTCATTAACGTTGTTTTTAACGTTTGATATAATGCTTTGAGAGAGATACTTGTTCGATAAGGAGCTGAAATTTTGTTTTTTATTGAGTGTATTTCTCGCGAACGTTAAGTTCCTTAAAAAACCGCGTTGTTAAGGTGGAAATATGAGATGCAGTTACACGGGACACTTTTACCGTGGTAAATTGCGGTAAATTGGCGTGGTGCGTGTGACGGGACTTTCCCGAGATAAATTTATCATAGGAAATATCCATGGTTACGTCAAAAAGAAGGAAGAAACTGTCCATGGCATTTAACGTGGTAAATAGCTAGCGCTTTTCGATAACCAAGGCAAGAGAGCCAATCAGGTTTCTTCATTTGACAACAACATGAGACCGTCAAAAAAATGTCTTTGCCTTAACGTTGAATTAAAGAACATAATCTTACCTCATTCCATTTTGTAGACAAACACGTTTCCGTATTTGTGTTGGCCATGCGCATTACCTGTTCCAGCATTGCTAAATAAGCACAGCTGCTTAGATTTGCCGTATTTGTCATAACGGTAATCCTTCATGTTGTCCGACCAACAGTTCTTGTCGTCTACTCCAAATATCTTGTAGCCAGAGGATTCAGCTTTCGTCTTGCAGTAGTTAAAAATGGCATCTGCGCCAGACACACTGCTGACGTTGTCATCAAATGAATCCGGTAAGGCGTAGGTGGGAGATTTGTTGCTATAGCAACCAAGTTGTTCCAAATCACCTTAAAAAGAGTTCATGAATTAATCCTTAGTTCTTTCAACGAGCCGACGGCATCGTCTTACTACTCTTCCCCAAAGGTAAAAAATGGGAATCTGGCACGTCTTTTTGACGAAAAGGGTTTAAAGTTTAACTTGAATTAACGCGGAATCCACCAGGAAATTGAGTAATCTTAATTTTCAGTGGAGAAAAACCTTGTACCAGAATGATTTAAAGCATAATGCATTCTTTTTTACATTTTTCAAGGGCTAAATATGCAATGAGTGATCTATAGTAACACCAAAGTAAATTTCTTATAGCAGCCCGAGAAAATGAATGTCAAATTTCATCTTACATATTAAATTTTCAGAATTTTACCTGTGTTTTTACTATTCTTGTGAAATTTGAAATTCCGTTTTTTCGGTCTCCCATGAGAAACTTTCTTTAGTGTTATTACCGATGACTAATTACATCTTTAGCCCTTGAAAAATGTAAAAAAGAATGCCATATTCTTTAAATTATTCTGGTACAAGGTTTTTGTCCACTGAAAATTAAAATTACTCAATTTCCTAGTGGATTCCGTCTTAACGCTCATTATGGCACATTTTTGCGAAGAAATCTAAAAACATCATAAAACATGAACTAATTTCCTAGGTGAATTCTGCTTAACCCACTTTTGGGAACTTTTTTGGGAAAAAAATAAAAAAAAACAAAAAACATGCGGAAGGTTGTTAAAAAAAAAAAGGGGGGGAGGTTCAGGGGAAGGTTCGTGTTGTAATGGGTTGGGTTTTTCTTTTTTTTTTGGGGGGGGGGGGGGTTGGGATTTAGCGTGGGGCGGCACTTGAGTGGCCGTTACGGTTGAGGAAGAGAGGCGATTGTAGAAACGTTAAAGCAGGAGTGAATATATTGATTGTCCACTTGGTGAAAGAACTGAGCCATTGCAGAGAGGTTGCCTTTAGTAGAGGGTTGGGTTGTTTTTCCGTCGGACTGCAATTGGTATTTAAAATTTGTATTTTATATCTTACCATCTCTAATTATCTAGACTTAACAAGAGGAACTGCTGGGAGAAGGGCTTTAGTAAAAGTACGAATAAGCAATCACAAACTACTGTTAGAAATAGGTAGATACAATCGAACTACTAGAGATAATAGGCATTGCCCTCTTTGTGGATCCAATCTAATAGAAAAGGACGTTCACTTTCTTTTTCGTTGTTCTGCGTACCGTATGATTAGGAATAATTTTTACAACAAAATCAAGACTCTGATTCCAAATATTACCCAGTTACCTGTAAACAATTTGATCAATGAACTAATGAACTTCTCTCACTACTTTATCAATATACAATTCATGAAATATATTTCACCTTGCTTTGATCTTCGTTACAAATTATTGCCAAAGTATCTAACTTATGATGTAATTTTAGTTCTTTTTCTTAATATAGCTTTCGCAATAGTGTATGTACTTGTATGATCATGCAAATAAAGCTCGTTGCTGTTATTTTATTTTCGTTGACATTGATATAAACTTAAATATTTTGCCCCTTACTACAATTGTTGTTAGGGTATTTCAAGCGAATTGTTTAACTTTTATAAATATTCCTGTTGACGTTACAGATAGGGGTAACTACAACTATTTTAAAAAAATTTCAATAAACCAGCCTACTATGACAGTTCACAGTGACTCCTTGGAGACATTTGTCATTGAAATTTGAGTTTGAACGTATTTTTCGGCAATGATTGATTTACACCAACTTCTTTCTAGTATTTACCTTTCTTACTCATTAGGTAGATGTAAATTGATTCTGATGCAAAGCTGCCGATTGCTACCTCGTGGTTATCGCTATAACTGCATTGGGCGGATGTCCCATATTTGTAAAAGGAATTAATAGCATTTTGGCCAGTCCAGCATTTTTTGTCATCTAAACCGAACAAGGCAACAGCCTTTGAAGCAGCTTTCTTCTTGCATGCGTCCAATTTCGAAATCATTGTAGCATTGCCTGCAACTCCTAATAGAATGTCACCAAGAGCTCTTCCTCTGTTTTGGTAACATCCCACGGGCTTCCAAGGTTCTGTCATTAATAAAAATAAATATGTATAGTGGGTTACTGTGATGCAGGTAGGATCTTTCTCTCCACTGTGTTTGAAGCTGTGTTTTTTTAAATGGGTTGGTAAGGCCAAGTAAAATTTAGACATGTTTAAACATTCGGTGTAATCTACCTCAAAAGATAAAATCAGTTAACCCCTTCTTGCCGAGAGCTTCCTGTAAATCAAACGCAAGCTCTATGTGTGCGAGTCTCTATGGATCTACAAGGTGCTTATTCCTCGGGAAGCTGTTGTACATGTATATGAATTTGTCGCGCGTAGTCTCGTAGCGGCCTGCAAACTCTTTCTTATATATTTACAATGTAAAAAGCAGAACAGGGATTAAGAAAACCAGAAGCATGTAACTTTGAAGCGTCTAAGTCCCCCCTTATTTGTTTAGAACTAAGCTGGGGTTTTTTAGCCGTCCAATTAGAAGCGCCGTCTAAGAAATTAGCTAATAATAAATTCTTCAATTGCTTAGTAAGTAAATCCACAACTCATCAGTACAAGTTGAGCCACTTAAATTTGTTACCTAACATACTAAACGGACAAAAACATTTATATTTAACAGATAGTGGAGCCGACGAGTGTGTTGTCAGTTTCGCGTGCTAAGCTGCACTGTGGCGTTGACGACTCTTTTGAGCACGTGTTAGCTTTCGTCACAAGCATAGGTTTCGCGTGGCTTGTCAGTTGCATAGTTGGTTTGTTTACACGAACGACTGTACAAATGCTTATAGCCATGCCAGAAAGAAATCTCTACTCGCATGATAGTTCAGTATTACATTAGCAAAGACAAAATCTGAATTACAAGCAACCAAAAGGATAATTATTATTATTTTTTATTTAGGGCATTATTTGCTTTGCGTAAGTTTCAGCTGATCGAAAGTCAAAACGCTCATTATCTGATTGCTTTATATTATTCTATCCATTCTTAGAGGAAGTCCAAGCGAAATTTGACACGCGTAATAGCAGCTTCCAGATTAGGATTGCGGACTCCTCTGGTCGCCGCAGTTAGATATAAACGCCTATATAGCTACGTGAGTTCTGTGAGCTGTTTCTGATTCAGCAGCATCTAAAAATATTAATCATGGGCTGACCGTTGATTTAGCTTTTAGCTAGCTAAATATAGGTTGGCGCCATAAAAAAACCTTTCTTACTTTTACATTGGAAGTTGTTGCAGTGCCTTGAAGATATAGATGGTCCCAGGCTACTGCAATTATTACCACCGTGCTGTGGTGGGGGATTGGTGCAAGTTCTGGTTTTTGTTTGTTTACCACGTCCACAAGTCTTTGAACATTGTGAGTACGGTCCCCAGTCAGAGTAACCTCCGTTGACTGCATGAAAAGAGAAGGTATTTATTGTTTTTAACAACTCTGTGATATGGTTATGAACAGAAAACGAAGCGTATTCGCTCTTCGAACTTCCACCCAAGATGTCCGCCCGACCCGTGTCGTTCCAGTTTTATTTTATAAGGTAGTTTCGATAGGATCGTTTTGTTTGGAAATTTTAGTCAGAATTAAAATGTGCGTTACTGTAAATGTTGTTTTATTTATCTACCGAGTTAAACTTGAGGGTGTAGGGGTTGTGGAGGAGGAAGAGAAGAGTTAAGGTTGAGTTCTAGCTATTGAGTTTAAGGAAGCTGACTGTAAATAAATCTAAAATTCATAAATAAAAAAAATTGGGCCAATAGGGAGAAGAAGCGTAACGTCACGGGTAGGAAAACTTCTGGATCACAACAATTGTGTGTTTTCACATGACGTTATGACGGCCATATTTTTTGCGCCCAAAACAATGAAACGGCGGCCATGTTTGTGTCCCAAACCAGTCCTGTGGGAGTTGAACTCTTTTCTTATGTAAACGATTTCTTTTGTTCCGATAAATTTGCATAGATGCTGGCCACGTGAGTAAAAACAAAGAATAGGGAGCTTAAGGAACGCCGACCGCGACAGCAACGATAACGGCAAACAAGCAATTAGTTTATATTAGTAAAACAACAATTTTGCGAGTGTATCACGCCTTTTCATTGTACATTTCTCAGCTGTCAATGCACTACAGCCACATAAAGTTACACGAAAATGCCTAATTTCACGCGCAGACTTTATGGAGTAGGTGAACACAACAGAAAGATTTTCTTTTCTTTTTCTACATGTAAACTTAGATGCAGTCCTTTTAGCATTGTGCAAACATAATGAGATCGAAGTGCGCCGAATTTCGTCCTTTAATTGGTCTCGCGAAACTTCACAACGAAATTTCGCACGAACACCCGCAAACTTTCGTTGAATGTCCACGAAATTTGGCAGGAGCGAAAATTCGCGCTTGCGAAATTTCGCTGATACGGTTTATGATGCAAACAGACTGATTCTGATTCTGACTCAAGCCTATTTCGCACGAACACCCGCAAACTTTCGTTGAATGTCCACGAAATTTGGCAGGAGCGAAAATTCGCGCTTGCGAAATTTCGCTGATACGGTTTATGATGCAAACAGACTGATTCTGATTCTGACTCAAGCCTGCATTGCTTTGAATCGCTACACTGTGGGCTCGCTACGTTCGATCGCTTCGATTGCCGGGATGATTCATCACAGTGCTCTTTGCGCCAAATTTCATAAGATCACTACACTAGTTGATAACGATCTGCCTCGCATTTTATAGCTAAACAAACAGTTAGGCTCTCTCTAAAACTTTACCATGGAAACACACAAATCCGGTCCGAAAAAGATCAGTACCACTATTTGCCCACAACACGGACGACCAAGTTACTTGAAGGAAAGGTGCTAAGATAGAATGCAATTTATAGTTAGTAGCTTAATCCGAGTTCCTGTTTCTTTTGCTCAACAGCGCTTTTTATTCTTGTTTCCAATTGTGATTTTAGAGCGTCCAAATATCAAATGGTAGGCAAAAAGAATCCATATGAATCTCATTCTGCTTTTTAAGTGTTCACAATTGAAATCAAATTTCGCTCTAATCCTGGGTTATCTTAATCCTGCTTTAAACAACCGCGCCCTGGTCAGTTAAGAATTTTTCAATAACGAAATTTCGCTTCGTCGAACAGAAATATCATTTAAACGAGCCGAAATTTCGTTAAGAACGCCTTTCTCGAAATTTCGCAACGAAATTTCGGTTCATGCTGCGAACTTTCGTTTCGGTTCATCACCTAGCTTCCGAAATTTCGCAGGGACTAGCCCAATAGATGCGCCGAAATTTCGCCGATTTTTCGTCTGAAACGAAGGTTCGCAGTTTGTGAAGTTCGCTCTCATTTCTTTTACACAGTACTGTAGATGCAGTCCTTTCGGATTCAACCCCAGAAAATTTAGACAACATTTGACAAATTTAAAAATGAAATTCAATAAGATCCATGAAGTTTGAAACAGTGCGAATTCACTTTTTAAGTGACGCTTTCAGTTTGTTATCATGCAGAAACTTTGCCACCATGGCAACGTGACGTAACGACTTCTCCTCTCAAAAGGCCCTTTTCAGATGGTCGGTAACGTGGCACAAACCACCATGCTGGAACGCAAGAAACGCACTGTTACCGACCAGACAATTGAGACAAACATTTCTTGCGTTCCGTCATGGCGGTTTAGGACCACGTGACTGACGACTTACAAAGGGCCCATTGAAAAAATCACATTTTCTTGGAGTTAGCAGGGAGCACGTGGTATGTATCCGCCGAGTTCTACTGCATATGAAAAATATGAAACGGCAAACTGATCCTTGCGGCAAGGCGATGAAGAAGTAAACAAAAGAATAAAAACAAAAAAAATATACATTAAAAGAAATTGCCCAATATTTCGGTTTTTGAAAACAAACGTTCTTCAGGTGCTAAATGAAAAATGGAATTAAAACTAAAAGTTCGTTACAAATAAGAAATTGAAAAAGTGTCAATAAAAACAATGGATTGTTATTGGTATAGGAGACTAGGTGATATCATATATCAGTGAGCTTTGTCACATCTATTTCTTCCTAGAGGAAATAATGTGTTCCTACTGCATATGAACCTAGCAAAACAACAAAAATTTCTTGGCAGATCTGAGTAATTGTGTTTTAGCCACTTGAAACATTCTTAAGGATCCACTCACGATCAACACAATGAAACTTTCTGCCATCAGGCATATGAAACTTCGACAAGAGAGAATATGTCTTGACATCACACAGTCATTTTCTTCAGTCTGTTGGGAAGTTTATGTTTGATTCAAAATTAAAATAGACTTTCCGAGCAACAGCCACGAAAGATTGAGAATTGAGACTCGTCGAACTGAAATAATTAAAAAAAGGAATAGGTTTTCACGGGAAGAAAAACTTTACTTAATTACTTATTTTCAACGACAATATTTAACATGTTGTTTAACTCAAAATTCTCTTCATCCTAGTTAAATCGCACATTTAGATATTCGCCTAAAACATACTTGGGGATTGGCGGCTAAGATTAATCTGCGTGAGTGCAGACCGTGGAACCNTGAGAATTGAGACTCGTCGAACTGAAATAATTAAAAAAAGGAATAGGTTTTCACGGGAAGAAAAACTTTACTTAATTACTTATTTTCAACGACAATATTTAACATGTTGTTTAACTCAAAATTCTCTTCATCCTAGTTAAATCGCACATTTAGATATTCGTCTAAAACATACTTGGGGATTGGCGGCTAAGATTAATCTGCGTGAGTGCAGACCGTGGAACCGCGGAACCCGCGGAACCTACGTAAACCTAAAGAAATGACTGTTTTATTACAAATGCCTTTGGCTAACGTGATGAAATAATTAGTTGCCATTTTTTTTTACAATAACTGAGCGCTGATTGGTTGAGAGCTATTGTCAATAACAGTACAGAGCATTGAAAACTGTTCTCGATTTCGGTTTAGTATCGCCGATCGAGAGCTCTGGTTCCAAAACAGAAAGTTCTCTAATCGCGGACTTCCGGCTTGTTAGTAGTCGTCGGAAGGAAATGAGAGGTATAGATTTAAACACATTAGGATGAGAGAACGATGAC